TTCAATAATTAACAGTTTTATCGTTTTATTTACTCCATTCTCAGCCATATTCACATATCATTTGTACTTAGTTTTATCGTTATCTCCCTTATTAATTCCGGTGTTTATTGACATGGAGAGCCAATCAGAAGCAGCCTAATGAGGTCAGTAAATGGCAGCCAGAAGTAACCTAATAGACGAGTGAATTTCGCTAGCTAAGGAATGGGTCAATTTCCCAAGTATTAGAGTGGTATATGTGTGTGTGAGTATTTGTGTATTTTGTTCGGTAGACCATTACACCTTCTCGCTCAATTAGTCAGATTTGGTGTCAGAACGTAGCATACAGTATGTCACTGTCAGATTTTGGACACCTCCCATCACAACATTTATAAACTGGACTTTTATGAAGATGCTATAGTAATGTTACGATTTTTCCTAATTAATGAAGTAATTTATTTTACTGACCTATAAAATTACAACTATATAGCAGTTTTTCAGCTTATACGAGTCCCTGCGTATGTTAAAATTGCAAAGCACATGAAAAAGACCTTGCTTCATCGCATGATGTTTGTTGTACTTAGTTTAAAAAGCCTACTAGGAGCATTTCACGGTAATGACATTCCTCAAAACAAATAGTTTAATGTATTTTCAGCATTAATCTTAACCCAGGTTGATTTACTGGACCTAAGTGGTTGAGAAGTTCAGTTAAGCATGGATGTCAATCCTCGGTATCACTCAAATGAAACACTCCAGCAATCCGATCGATGATCAACAATCTAGTCTCGCACTCATCCACTTCCGTGTACGATCAAGGAAATCATTCCTTCGATCAATGCATTCTTCAACACAATATATGGGTTCTCCTGAGTATAACGTTTAACACAACTTGGGGTCATTATCGCTTTGTCCTGCTGTATTAAATAAATTTTATTAGTGGGCCTCATTATTGACTTACATATATCTGGATTCTACACCACATCATGTACAATCACACATCCAAACTCATAGAAACTTATATGCCTTCATCCTCCAACTTACCCAACTTTCAGTGAAACACAAAGTCACTGATCTTGTTTTTTCTAAGTTAATGGCGTGACAACTAACATTTACAATTCATAGCTCTTGTAAGGGACTGCCCGCGATAATTAAATGGGTGCTTCAAAACATTAGCATTTGGCTCTAGTGTCACTGAATCCCCTTATATGACCTCCCTTAACACTGTTTACTGACGTGCATCACTCTCATTTCTAGTTTACAGGGATAATTTTACCACCCAATTTCCATATCCTCCTGAATTTCATAATGTGTTACCTTACTTGTACCGTTTTTATTGTTTTGTTTTATTTAACATTATGTACTACCAGCTGTCATAGTGGCTTGTAGCTCTTTGATTGTTTTTTTTCCAAAATGATTGATTTAATTGACACCCTTGTCACAGAAGTTCATTTTTCATTTTTAGAAGCATCCATTGTTGTTGACCGTTTTGGTCATTCACTTTAAAGTGAGTTAAAGTGTCCTATCTTTCGAGATAGAACTGTGTTTTCTACTTGGTAGGAACATCTTTATTTTTGACATGATTGCATAGGGGTTTCAGCTATTCATCATCACACACTTTATCACCTAACCGCTGTGATTTTGGTAATCCGTCGATGAGTGTTTAGAGAATTAGAATATTGGGTTGTATAGAACGTAAATTTGGAACTCAAGAGTTTCAGAACTTTACAGTCTGCCCTATCGAAGGGAAGCTCCTGAAATCTTAACTACTTTTTTCCTATTTTCTTTTTTTCTCAAGTGGTGTTATTGAGCTTCGAATAATTTATATAGATTAGTTTCAAATTTCGATTTGGAGGCCCCTCGCGTTGTGAAAACTAGCCATAATATGGGAGTAGACGTATAAACTGGTCCAGAGTGCACAGAACAAATAAGATAACCATTTTGGTTGGTAATTAAACTGGGATTTTAGTAAGCTTGTGAAAAATGGGATGGCTTGAATACAAAGTTTAAACATTGATGAGTAAGTTGTCGATAAACACCATACTCAGAACTGCGAGATGATTATAGTGTTAAACCAGCATTAAGAAGTTATGAGAATATTTATACCCAATGGGGTGAGATGTTTCTCTAGTCTCTTAAGAGTTCCCTGTTTATGATGCACGTAGTAGGACGAGTTAATTTCATGAAATATCGCGTCGAGCATTAATGCTAAGTAACCTTTACAAAGTATCAGACTATGATACCAGAAACGAATTCGTACTTGACTGTGAACCACTATTCTTGGTTCAGTGTGTTACGCCTTTTCATAGTATCCTGTAATTACAAGCATTGTCATGTCGTTACTATAAAATTGCTACTATGGATGCTGGAATGAGTAATTTCGAGATTCTCTTGATAAGTTCAATGCTGATCTGTTAACAGTGTGCAAATAAGCACGAAATAGGAGCACAGTTGACTTTATGAGTTATGAACCGTTCTGCAATTGGCGAGATTAAAAAGCTAAGTGTGCTGTCAATGATTATCATTTGGACTACGATCCTCAATCACAGTACAAAACCGTAAGAATCTTAATCAAATATAGTGCTTCTGACAACCACTTGGTTTCAAAGTAATGTAAAAAGAACAGGAAGCAGTCACTTCAACTTTCGTACACTGTATGTTGGTGCTACATATAAGTCAGTCAGGTGTGAAAATTCGTATCTTAAGTAGTGTCCCAGAAACAAGATACAGAGCGGCAGTGCATTACATATGTGCTACAATAGATACTGGAATCTGCTCAATCCTTGTCCTGCTGAAGGTAGGGTTAGCACCCCAAGAGGATCAAATCATACCATGTTTGGGAATTGGAGAGACAGGTGTTGGAGGTTGCAGACTCTTAGAGTTGCAATTCGAAATAAGTAGCGTAATGTATCTACCGCCACTCTATAATTAGACCCAGACACAGTTACACTAGACTGACAAACTGAAGCCATTCGGATTGTAGGCCGAAATGGAGTTAGTCCAGTCCGATCCATAAGATAAAAGTGTGCATCTGCAAGGCTATGTATTTCTCTTGTTATTGACTAATCTTCCTGAAAGAAAAACAGCATTGCTTTGAGTGTGTGAAATTAAGTAATGTTGTAATACCCTAAAGAAGACTCCCAAGGAACTGAGTAACGAAGTTAAGAATAAATGATAAAGCATCATTTCTCATTGGAAGAACAACAGTTTCAGGAGCTGAGTCGGTGTTATGATTTCAAGTTAGTGGAAAAAATATATTCAAATGCAGAGAATCACTGTACTGAAATCCATGCAGTTTTAAGACTGCATGTAAATACTATTAGTTCCGTTACACTATCACTTTTATATACAAATTATGACAGCCTATTTTACTGATATGATCGGAAAGATACAGAATGCTTAGGTCCGACATTTAACAAACAGCATTCAGTCGCGCTGACTGATTTGGGTACATTCCTGATAAAAGCAGGAGAATGTATTTACTAAAAAAACGTTGAATTTACACCTTACAGACAGTTAATGACGATAGGGTATTATCAGTCGGGACTTGGAAGCCTGTGGAGAATAGTACGTTTATGCTCTAACCGTTAAGAGTCTTGAGATAAGATTTAGAATATTTAGCTACCAAGATAATTAACCATTTACTTCATTAAATACTGTTATTATTCACCATAAGACTATCACTTCAGTCAGCTGTCCATATCTACAGAGAGAGACAAACATAGAAATGTTCAAAGCAGCTCGATTACAGATTTCACGTTGGTTGATAATGTGGATTACTTTTGGATATATGTCACACCGGAGTGGTGAAGTTGTGAGTTGTGGACTGACTACCGGCTGGTTGACTATTAACTTTCACAATATTTATTCATCCAGTAAGACCGTCGAACTCGATTCTTAGCAAAGATCCTACTAGTAAACATGGTTAAAAAATAAGGTCACATAAAAGTTCTCATCGTTCGAATTGATGCAAATATACTGTACTTTATCCATTGCTAACTGAAAATAGAATTACATTATGATGGTCCTGAACCCAAAGATAATGATTAGTGGGATCAAACAGATAATTCCGTAATTTGAACAGTCTATAGAATACACCAGAGGTTTAGTTATCGATGTATCGGCTATAAGACGTCAGAGGTTACCATTTACGACAAAAAAACCCGATATACTTTGGCGTGAAACTATGGCTGGATTTATATTAGGCTACTCCTTATGGGCTAAAAATTTCACATATTAAGGGGTGCTGATACAGGAAGTAGCGTGGACGTGAAGTCAACATGTAACCTATAACTTCATGGCTAGCTAATTACTAAAACTTCATTATTGAGATCTAGTGCTCCTGGACTTGAAAATAAACTGGTCATTCGAACACATCAATTACAATTCAGTAATACACAGGCTAATCGAAAAAGAACTGAGATTTTGAACACTCACGTCTGGATAAGTTTCTTGGACTTCAAATATTCCATTTGTGTTACATCCATCACCAGTATTGGTAGTCAATTTATGAGGAAAATCAATATAGCTTTCTGATATATCATAATAAAATTTGTTCTGTTCGTCATCTAGGATAGACAAAATCTGGGTGAAGAGAACATTGCAAATAGAAGAATCGACGATAGTTTCATTAGCTGTCTCCTCTGTTTGAACAGCTATGGAAGACATGGATTAATTGATAATACAACAACAATGTGGTGCACATAAACGTGAATGAAAGGTAGGCAAATCCTAACACGTGATTGGTCGGCAGTTATAATGCATATCATTTGAAAACAGGCAGAAGGACTGCTTCACTGAACCACAAGAAAGCACTCATGAGAATGTAATCATTAAGATACTCGTAGAAGTGTATTTCATTTGTTCGAACTATCACTTTCATCAAGACAGCTCAAACGTCATCAAGATGATAATATCAACAGTATCAATTTCAGAAACATATAAATGTGGGTAAAAACGGCAAATAAAAAAAGTTGATTTGTTTTTTTATTTTAACATCCGCTCGTAGTACATCACCTCTGGCGCCATTTTGGTCCGTTTGTCTAAAGGTTAGTTTCCATCGTGTACTGGTGTTATGTTTGTCTAGGTATATTAGCATGATGCGCCCGTTTATTGATTCTAAGGCTGACCAGGATAAAAAGTTGTTCATCGGCGGTTTAAGTCCTAAAACAGATGAGAACTCGCTCAAAAATTATTACGGTCAATGGGGTGAAATCATTGATGTTGTCGTTATGAAAGATCCTAGATCTCAGAAATCTCGAGGGTTTGGTTTTGTGACATATAAAGATTCCTCGTCCGTTGATGCTGCACAAAACAATCGCCCACATACTATAGATGGAAAGGAGGTGGATACCAAGCGTGCCATGCCCAGAGAGGAAACAAGTCCTGAGGTTCATGCTGCAGTGAAGAAAATTTTTGTTGGTGCTTTAAAGAAGGATGTAACAAATGAAGATCTTAGTGATTACTTTTCTCAGTTTGGGACCGTAACTGATGCACAGATTGTTATAGCTAAAGATACGAATACATCCCGGGGCTTCGCATTCGTTACTTTTGATGACACAGATGCAGTAGACAAAGTTATTTTAGCTCGACCACATACTATCAAAGACTCCAAAGCAGATGTACGAAAAGCACTCAGCCGAGAAGAAATGAATAAAATGAGGTCAAAACCTGCACCTGTGAGAACAGACTATAACGGTGGTGGCTGGCACGACAATGCAAACGGAGGTTTCCAGCCTCAATCATGGATCAGGGCTACAATCAACCTTACGCACACCAACAGCCTTATGCTTATAACGGAGCAGGCTATGGTAAGTAACCAGATTTGTCGCTAACATTACGCTCAGGTTATGGTGGTTACGATGCAGGTTGCCCTGCAGGTGGTTGGCCTAATGCTTCCGATGGATTCGGCAATTATCAGCAACAAGCCTATGGTGGTGGTCCGATGAGGGCGACACCTGCAAATGCACAGTATTCCCGTCCTGCTCCATATTCCGGTAATGGTTGGCAACGCTGACGTTAATTTTGTTATTTCAATACCAAACGCCTAGTGCATTTTGACAACTTTTTATCACTTGCTGTAAAATATACAAATCAATTATTCTGCTATTGCCTTGTACTCCCAGCCGCTTGATGCTAATGTTGAGAAGCTAGTTAGGTCGCTATTGGAAAAAGATAAGGTATGGCACATTTGCGACTCGTCACATCGATTCCCAGTTGTATACTCAATATGGAGAGGAAGCTCCCGTGAGACTCCATGGAGAACTGGATTGTGTTGCAGCAAGGAGGTTACAATCAATTCAAAGGTGGTCAGCAAACAAGGTGGGTTTGAAGCTAGCGATTTTGGGTTGCACTAATTCTGTTCTTAAGCAAGAATTAGATGGCACGTACTAGTTTTCAAATTCTTAAGTACATTTAAAGATTTGCTAGGTTAAGCATTTGGAATTTTAGTCTTTAGGTATGTAGGTTGGTGCGATTCAACCTCTAGTATTTATAGCTCTAAGGCCCTTGTACTGCTTTCATGTCGAACCAAGTAGTAGTGTATTTTATGTGCGCAATGTGCCAATACCTGAGAGGTAATAACCATATCGTATTTCAGCCTCCTTCATCACAAACCTCTCCAGTTACTTCGTTTCCGTTAAGTAAACTTAAAGTATTTCTGTATCAAGTTCTAGCTGCTAATAGAATAATTGAAAGCATTTCGTGATTTAACTAATCAAATGCTTTCGTCATCCACTTGTAGACGGTGAGCTGGACTCCTTACCATCTGGCTTAACGCGAGACGAGTGCAGCCAATCTTTGACATCAATCGACGCAACTGATGAATCCGTTGGTTTTCTACACGATGGCTGTGTTTTGTTTAGGGATATTGATGAATAAAAGTACTTTGTTTCTACCTGAAAGGATTTTGTTTCAAGTTTTTGAACAATATAACAGATACATTTTGAGAGATAAAAAGCATTCTTTTCTCTCTTGAAATTAGTATTGCCACTATTTAACTCAAACTAGCACTGGCAATACAGTGAATTCGTGTTTGTAGATATTGCCGGAGTATTCGCGGCTTTAGTGGTCCGGATCATACTAATTAATAAAGCGGTGATGATCATTAGTCGCTACAATACTGTAGTTCCCCAAGTACTGTTTTGGATATTAAGGACTGCGCATGATTGCTCCACTAGTTAAGGTGATGTTCAGAACGCTTTTTGAATGAAACCGAGTGAACCTCTGCTCGTGTAATATGACGTAGTTTATTGAGCGGTCCACTCTGTGCATGCGTTTAATTAAAACCAATGTGCATTAGTCGAGCACTCAGTACTACCATGGTTGTAATGCTATCTTGGTAATTGTGTTGTCATAGGCCGACGCCAGTCAAGGTTTTCAAATAAATACTGACTATCCTTTCACTGGTAGCTCATAAAGCATTTAAGTGTTCGAGCTCGTTTAAAGCCAGACTTTCAGTCCCTATTTATGAGGATTAAACTTAAGTCTCGGTGATTTGACAGTTGCAATCAAATGAAATTCACTCTATGTCAAGTCAGATATAACTAGTAGATATCTCACCTATTGGGGAGTTCTTAGAAGGACAAAACGAAATGTGATGTAGATCTAGAGATATAGGGTATTCTGGGACCCACACAGTTATTCGATATTTAATTGAGGTGATAAGAAACTAATATGATGTTAAATCTACTCAGAAGTATTAGGTTCGTAAAAAAAACCCACTTGGGTTCAAAAGGATGAGTGGGTTAACATCGCTTTATTCTTGCCCCAATATGGTCGGCTTCGTCTGTCTAAAAAACTTGATTGTTGTGAGCGGATGCCGATCAATTCTGTTAATATAAAAGCTCTCCTACTTGAATTTCCTTTGTATTTTGACCGGAACCGGCATCTTTCGGGGTCTACTGGTTTCTGTCAGATCGATCCCCAAGGATTTACTAACTAATTCTGGGCGCAGTATTGTATTTAGGTATATTCAGTCAGGTTCCCTTGTTTACTGAGTGCTAAGTAACCTTACAAGACGAATATCCTCAGGTTCTAACCACTATATTTTTTGTCCAGTGACAAACCAGTCATCCCAGTTGTGTATGTTTCTACAGATTGGTTTTATTAAGCGAATTTTATGAAGTCTTCCGTATTGGTTATGCGTTATTGAGTTCATAATTGTTAGGTTTTGTTTTCTAGCTTGATATAGGGCTTCCCATATTATAAATCATAACCAGTTCAGGGTCTAGCACAAATAATTACCGGCTCAGATTCACAATTTAGCGAGCATCAGTTCACAGAGTGAAAGAGTAACAACGATGACATTTATAAACTGAACATAGGAAATATAATTCAAAAGTGACAAGATCGCATTGGGGTTAATATGGGATAACACTTTTGGTTTTCAGGAGAGAAAAGTGAACAACTACATGAGACCTTTTCAGTTGAGAACCCTGGGGCCCTTACTGTAGCCTACCATTATCTCGCGAACCACAAGTTCGGAGTCTGGATTACGCGGCTCAGCTGAACGTCCGCTGGTGAACTGATTCCAAGTGTTGGTGTGCCCCAGCCGCCAAGTTCCCACATAAAAATAGTCTTCAAAAAATTGTATTGATTCCATGTATGTATATTTATGTCTAATAGGTAGTTTGGATTAATTTCTTTATGTTCTGGATCGATGACTACAACTGATTTGCATATTGAAATGTTGATTGCCATTTACGCAGAAGTTACCAGTACTGGTAAAGTTTCCATGCTTGTTCGTAAAATTTGGAGAGCGCTACATTATAGTTTTCAACTCTACCTTTGATGTTTAGCATTCTTTCATAAAAATAACGTAAAGATTAAGCGATATTTACAGCAATAGCTTGTTTGGCTAGGTGGTAGTTAAGATATTCCTAGCACCGTTTATAGATGAAATATTTCCAATTCATGCGCTCATCATATCACCTGTTCACTACAAAATGAAAGAATCTGGATATACTATTGACTGAACATATTTACCATGTCAAACATAATCTGGAAGTGAATGGGGACAATTTAAACAGTTTTTGAGTATTGGTTTCTTAAACCAGGTTAAGTTGATAAAATTGTGACCACGTGGCAATATGTAGTTTAATCTAAACAAATTGTAAGAGTGGATGTATAAAGTAGTAACCAAGAATTTCGTTTAAGTTAGTAGGATGATTTGCGTCAAAATGTATATTGCTTTGAAGATAAGCCATCAACTTTGAATAATTTTTCGATCTCATTTGCATGGTAATAACAAATAAAAGCTACGGGAATGGTATCAAACTCATCTGTTATGTCCCTATCATAAGGTTATAATCGATTTCAAAGAAATAATTTCAACTGTTATTCGTTCTTGTGTGCGCATCATACCTACCAATGTTTGTGACTTGTTTCTCTCACATAATGAAACCATGTCGACTTCAGTCATGGCATCGTGAGTTGGTGTATTAAGTAAACATTATTTAGAAAATAATTGGGCGGATCGTGCTATTTATTACATATACAAACGTACCACGTTGAGTCTTCAAGGATTGGCGAACTCTTGGTTGCAAAAGCAGTCTGGTGTTGTCAGTGCTCCGTCAATTCTTGACTGTCGTGCTAAATACTCATGCGATCGATTATGTATCGCCGGTCATGGACAAACTACTCATATAAAAGGACGTTTAGTTCAGAATAGTTACAAGTTCTGGTTTCGAGCTGGTGATAGATATGGGTGGTAGGAATCTTACGATTATAAACCTGTTTTACAACAAAACTTTATTCCATTGACTTATGGACTAGGCATTTCGGTAAGTATCTGCTCTCCTCTTCTTTCGAAGTTTTGATTTTCAGACAGTACTATGTGCTTCAAGCATGATATTAAGTATCATAATAAAGATTGAGTAAAACCTACTGTTTTCGTTAGTACTACTGAAGGCTATCATAAGACCAACACTTAATCCCGTAATTTATCCATGTGTTGCATTTAAATTTACTATCGTTATTAAATTAACGATCTCCGGTCCTGTAGTACAAAACATTCTGTTTCTTATACAGTTTGTAACTAATCTGGAACTGACAGTCGGGTCTTGTAAATGTGGCACTTCACGTTATCTCATGAATTACTTTTCCAGCACATACTTAAGACCGTCTGCCTAGTGATAGACAGTTATCAGAAATCGAAATATTCGTGGATGTAAACTTAAAAGTCTGGAGAACTGTGCTGGATGTGGTTTCTTACAGTGAAAATTAATCTATGTCACTTGAAACAATCTTAATTTTAGTCTACTTCCAAAATATATCCACACTTCAGTAAAGGCGGTTCTCTTTTACACCTTTCGGAATCTGTCACCTGAGCTGTGGGCATGCAACAATCACGTACTCAACTTCAGGTCTGTTTATTCTCCTATGATACCGCTATATAGACGATTATATGGCCTCATTCTATATTACGTCGTCATGCAACTAAGAGATTAAAATCACTTCGTATCTTTCTTTCTACTAACTAATTCTTTCTTCCTGTACTGTATCCTTATATGCAATCTTTCTCCTATATATTACCACCTTTGACCTAACCACTGCTATGAATCCGGTGTTCATCTTGCTGTGCTAATGAGGTATGGCAACCTGGGCCGATGCATAAATGTGCCTGGTCCTACGTTGTAGCTGACTGACTGACGTCATCATACAATTTGCATTTCGACAAGTTAGTCGATCTTGGCATTCTGTTGTTTGTATTTGAATGCCCTAGTAAATGCTATCTCGGTAGTTTTTATGATAACCACTAAGTTGAAAATGGGTCTATTTGGATAGGATTGTGTTTGGTTAGAATTCATAGTTCTGTTTTCCATGTGTGGGATCTTAAAGAAACCGTTTTAAAGCTAATAACTAAATGCAGTGAGGAAGGTGCTGCAGATTTTTTTAAATTTAGGACTTGACCAAATCGATGGTGGAGGCCTTTTTGATGTATCGTCCATGGATAAAGGTTTTTATTATTCTTTCAATTGTAATGTTTTCTTAATCTCTTTTTCTTGCACATTTCAAATATATATTAAAAACAAATAATTCCCTAAGAAAGCCGTTCTCGTACTGCTCGGTTGTACTTTTCTAGTTTATATTAGTTTTTTAACTTTCTGTATCACTGGAAGGTGTGATAACGTGAACCGTTACATACTAAATGAGATTTCATTTCCCAATCATTTATAAGTTCCTTCCTTATGCATATCTCGGAAATACTTTAGGATTCTAAGGGAGAATACAGAACAAGTCAAGTAGAGAAGAATAACTTCCAATCACCAGTTTTTCTGATGGCCATGATCATAGTTAGTAAACACTGCTTAACTTATGTA